GTCTAGGTATCCAGAGTTACCTTTCTAGAGCCCCCTTCAGACAGGCCATGAAAAACGGAAATGTTCCGGACTCTGTCCGTAAGACCTTTGTGTCTGAATACAAACATCCGGATAACGTGTTCCTGAATTTTACCGGACGAAGTCCCTAGTAACAGGTCCGGACTTGTTACGGACAGGGTGGCTGATTCAGACTGGTGAGGTAGAGTTCCGGACAAGAGGGAGGGGGAGGAGGAGGGGACCGGGGGACCCTGTGCGCACCTAGATAGCCCGCTCCTGTAGCATGCGGCGAACCACGGCAGCTACGGTACCGTCTAGACGCGCGACGGAGCGCTTCACACCGCTTCACACCGCTTCAGTGATTCCTTTAACCATTGAGCTTCATCATCCAGGTCTCTTATGCGTCTTCGTGTGCGCAGAATTATGCTTAAGCGCCTCGTGATTTTTATCTTGAGAGGCGCTATAGAAATTATGTTTTCTTCTTCTTAACATAAGTCCGATTCTACCCGCCGCCGCCGTCAGACTTCTGGAACTTTTCCCTGCTGTGTGAACGCAGCCGAAAGGACAAGTTCCGGTACAAAAGTGGTGTGTCTGAAAACACAGTTCCGGTTAAAAACCGGATTGAATTGTCCGCAAATGTTCCAGAATGTCTATCTGAAAAGGGCTCAGGTGTCAGAGGGTTACCTGTCTAGTTATACAGGGTTAGCTGACTTGGTATCACATGGATACTGTCAGACTGGTCGGTTGGATTCAGGAGTTGAGCTTGTAGGGAGCGTGGTTTCACAGACGCGGAAGTGAGAGCATCGGTGAAACACCGGCTCACGATTTAATCTAGGAAACCCCCGAGCGTTCGAGCGTCAACGAAGTGACACGGAAATGCCGGGCTTTCCATAAGTAAGTAAGATAACTTACTATGAGCTGACAGTTCGTGGGATGGATCGATAGGTTGGAAACTCTGATCATGAATCTGAAGAAACGATGACTGAGTGGTGAGCTGGAAGGGCGACTTCCGTTTATAGCCGCGGTATGTGACGTAGGTGAGACGTGGAGGGAATCCCCGCGAGGGGCATGCTGGGAGTTATGGTCCATAGTGGAGGCCGGCTAGCTGGGAGAGGCTGGCCTGGGAACTTGGGTTCTGACAGATACCTGTCTAGGTTTCTGAGGGTTACCTGTCCAGGTAAAAGTGCAGGTCTGATGGAAACAGCTGATGAGATAAATAAATACCAGCTGTTTCTGTTTGCAGGATACAATGTGTGTATTTTTGCATATGGACAGACAGGAGCAGGAAAAAGCTACACCATGATGGGAAAACAGGAACCGGATCAGGAGGGCATTATACCACAGGTAAGAGGACTCACCTGGGCGGATCCTGGTCAGGTTAGTCTCCGGTCTGACCCTGACTTTCTCTGTCTCTCCAGCTCTGTGAGGACTTGTTTCAGAGGACTGGAAAAAACATAGATCCTGACCTGACCTACTCAGTGGAGGTAAGGACAGTTCACTGTTCCATCTGGACTCTGATCCCAACCCTGATCCAGGTCTGATGGTCCTTCTCCATGTCCTACACCTCCAGGTGTCCTACATGGAGATCTACTGTGAACGGGTTAGGGACCTGTTGAACCCAACTTCACAGGGGAGTCTGCGGGTCCGGGAACATCCCATCCTGGGGCCTTACGTGGAGGACCTGTCCAAGCTGGCTGTGACGGGATTGGCGGACATCCGGGAGCTGATGGACGAAGGCAACAAAGCGCGGTCAGTCGAGTGTCCAGAAACATTCTAAAAAATAACAAAGAACATTTAATTTCATGGAGACTTTTGCTGCTAACACGTGATTTTTTTTTCCTGATTGCAGAACTGTCGCAGCCACCAACATGAACGAGACGTCATCCAGGTCTCACGCTGTCTTCACCATCGTCTTCACTCAGAAACACAGAGACCAGCTGACCAGTCTGGACACAGAAAAGGTCCATCTCTGCTCTGCACTAATGTCTCCTCTGTTGTCCTGTCCATCAGCTGATTCCTCCTCGTCCCTTTCTGCAGGTCAGTAAAATCAGTCTGGTAGACCTGGCTGGAAGCGAGAGAGCAGATTCTTCAGGGGCAAAGGGCACCCGACTAAAGGTCAGAGGTCACACAAGTGGGCTTTTTGAGTCTTTGCTTATCACAATAAATGCATTTCCTTTTGTCTTCCTGCAGGAAGGAGCAAACATCAACAAATCTCTCACCACGTTAGGAAAAGTGATATCAGCACTAGCTGAGATGGTTCGTTGTCAACTATTATCATCACATCTCATTATTAAAACTAGTTAGCATACTTTGTTACCTACAATAGTTAACATCTTTCTTATCACCACAATTTAACATCCTTGTTATCACCACTAGTTTACTTCCTTGTTATCACCACTAGTTTACATTCTTGTTATCACCACTAGTTTACATCCTTGTTATCACCACTAGTTTACATCCTTGTTATCACCACTAGTTTACATTCTTGTTATCACCACTAGTTTACATCCTTGTTATCACCACTAGTTTATATTCTTGTTATCACCACTATTTGACATCCTTGTTATCACCACTAGATTACATTCTTGTTATCACCACTAGATTACATTCTTGTTATCACCACTAGTTTACATTCTTGTTATCACCACTAGTTTACTTCCTTGTTATCACCACTAGTTTACATTCTTGTTATCACCACTAGTTTACATCCTTGTTATCACCACTAGTTTACATTCTTGTTATCACCACTAGTTTACATCCTTGTTATCACCACTAGTTTACTTCCTTGTTATCACCACTAGTTTACATTCTTGTTATCACCACTAGTTTACATCCTTGTTATCACCACTAGTTTATATTCTTGTTATCACCACTATTTAACATCCTTGTTATCACCACTAGATTACATTCTTGTTATCACCACTAGTTTACATTCTTGTTATCACCACTAGTTTACTTCCTTGTTATCACCACTATTTAACATCCTTGTTATCACCACTAGTTTACTTCCTTGTTATCACCACTATTTAACATCCTTGTTATCACCACTAGTTTACATCCTTGTTATCACCACTAGTTTACATTCTTGTTATCACCACTAGTTTACTTCCTTGTTATCACCACTATTTAACATCCTTGTTATCACCACTAGTTTACTTCCTTGTTATCACCACTAGTTTACATTCTTGTTATCACCACTAGTTTACTTCCTTGTTATCACCACTATTTAACATCCTTGTTATCACCACTAGTTTACACCCTTGTTATCACCACTAGTTTACATTCTTGTTATCACCACTAGTTTACTTCCTTGTTATCACCACTATTTAACATCCTTGTTATCACCACTAGTTTACTTCCTTGTTATCACCACTATTTAACATCCTTGTTATCACCACTAGTTTACACCCTTGTTATCACCACTAGTTTACATTCTTGTTATCACCACTAGTTTACTTCCTTGTTATCACCACTATTTAACATCCTTGTTATCACCACTAGTTAACATTCTTGTTATCACCACTATTTAACATCCTTGTTATCACCACTAGTTTACTTCCTTGTTATCACCACTAGTTTACATTCTTGTTATCACCACTAGTTAACATCCTTGTTATCACCACTATTTAACATCCTTGTTATCACCTCTAGTTTACTTCCTTGTTATCACCACTACTTTACATTCTTGTTATCACCTCTAGTTTACATTCTTGTTATCACCACTATTTAACATCCTTGTTATCACCACTAGTTTACTTCCTTGTTATCACCTCTAGTTTACTTCCTTGTTATCACCACTAGTTTACTTCCTTGTTATCACCACTAGTTAACATCCTTGTTATCACCACTATTTAACATCCTTGTTATCACCTCTAGTTTACTTCCTTGTTATCACCACTAGTTTACATTCTTGTTATCACCACTAGTTAACATCCTTGTTATCACCACTATTTAACATCCTTGTTATCACCTCTAGTTTACTTCCTTGTTATCACCACTAGTTTACATTCTTGTTATCACCTCTAGTTTACATTCCTGTTATCACCACTATTTAACATCCTTGTTATCACCACTAGTTTACTTCCTTGTTATCACCACTAGTTTACATTCTTGTTATCACCACTAGTTAACATCCTTGTTATCACCACTATTTAACATCCTTGTTATCACCTCTAGTTTACTTCCTTGTTATCACCACTATTTAACATCCTTGTTATCACCACTAGTTTACATTCTTGTTATCTCCACTTGTTAACACCCTTGTTAACACCACTAGTTAACATTCTTTTGATCTCCACTGGTTAACACCCTTGTCAACACCACAATTTTACATTCTTGTTACCACCACGAGTTAACATCCTTGTTATCACCACTAGTTAACATTCTTGTTATCCCCACTAGATAACATTCTTGTTATCTCCACTAGTAAACACCCTTGTTATCAGCACTAGTTAACATCCTTGTTACGAACACTAAATACCATCTTTGTTATCTCAACTACTTAACACCCTTGTTATCACCACTAGTTAACATTCTTGTTATCTCCGCAAGTTAACACCCTTGCTATCACCACTAGTTTACATTCTTGTTAACCCCACTACTTAACATCTTTACCTCCACTAGTTAGCATATTTAGTTACCTACAATAGTCAACATCTTTGTTACCACCACTAGTTAACATCCTTGTTATCACCACTAGTTAGCATTCTTGTGATCACCATGAGTTTACAACCTTTTTATCACTACTAGTTAACACCCTTGTGATCACCACTAATTAACATCCTTGTTATCATCACTAGTTTACATTCTTGTTATCACCACTTGTTAACATCCTTGTAATCACAACTAGTTAACATTCTTGTTATCACTACTAGATAACATTCTTGTTATCACCACTATTTAACGTCCTTGTTATCACTACTAGTTAACATTCTTGTTATCACTACTAGTTAACATTCTCTTTATCACCACTATTTAACATCCTTGTTATCACTACTAGTTAACATTCTTGTTATCACCACAAGTTAACATTCTTATTATCAACACTAGTTAACATCCTTGTTATCACCACTAGTTTACATTCTTGTTATCACCACTAGTTTACTTCATTGTTACCACCACTATTTAACATCCTTGTTATCACCACTAGTTTACTTCCTTGTTATCACCACTAGTTTACATTCTTGTTATCACCACTAGTTTACTTCCTTGTTATCACCACTATTTAACATCCTTGTTATCACTAGTTTACACCCTTGTTATCACCACTAGTTTACTTCCTTGTTATCACCACTATTTAACATCCTTGTTATCACCACTAGTTTACACCCTTGTTATCACCACTAGTTTACATTCTTGTTATCACCACTAGTTTACTTCCTTGTTATCACCACTATTTAACATCCTTGTTATCACCACTAGTTTACTTCCTTGTTATCACCACTATTTAACATCCTTGTTATCACCACTAGTTAACATTCTTTTTAACACCACTATTTAACATCCTTGTTATCACCACTAGTTTACATTCTTGTTATCACCACTAGTTAACATCCTTGTTATCACCACTATTTAACATCCTTGTTATCACCTCTAGTTTACTTCCTTGTTATCACCACTAGTTTACATTCTTGTTATCACCTCTAGTTTACATTCTTGTTATCACCACTATTTAACATCCTTGTTATCACCACTAGTTTACTTCCTTGTTATCACCACTAGTTTACATTCTTGTTATCACCACTAGTTAACATCCTTGTTATCACCACTATTTAACATCCTTGTTATCACCTCTAGTTTACTTCCTTGTTATCACCACTATTTAACATCCTTGTTATCACCAATAGTTTACATTCTTGTTATCTCCACTTGTTAACACCCTTGTTAACACCACTACTTAACATTCTTTTGATCTCCACTGGTTAACACCCTTGTCAACACCACAATTTTACATTTTTGTTACCACCACGAGTTAACATCCTTGTTATCACCACTAGTTAACATTCTTGTTATCCCACTAGATAACATTCTTGTTATCTCCACTAGTAAACACACTTGTTATCAGCACTAGTTAATATCCTTGTTACGAACACTAAATAACATCTTTGTTATCTCAACTACTTAACACCCTTGTTATCACCACTAGTTAACATTCTTGTTATCTCCGCAAGTTAACACCCTTGCTATCACCACTAGTTTACATTCTTGTTAACGCCACTACTTAACATCTTTACCTCCACTAGTTAGCATATTTAGTTACCTACAATAGTCAACATCTTTGTTACCACCACTAGTTAACATCTTTGTTATCACCACTAGTTAGCATTCTTGTGATCACCATGAGTTTACAACCTTTTTATCACTACTAGTTAACACCCTTGTGATCACCACTAATTAACATCCTTGTTATCATCACTAGTTTACATTCTTGTTATCACCACTTGTTAACATCCTTGTAATCACAACTAGTTAACATTCTTGTTATCACTACTAGATAACATTCTTGTTATCACCACTATTTAACGTCCTTGTTATCACTACTAGTTAACATTCTTGTTATCACTACTAGTTAACATTCTCTTTATCACCACTATTTAACATCCTTGTTATCACTACTAGTTAACATTCTTGTTATCACCACAAGTTAACATTCTTATTATCAACACTAGTTAACATCCTTGTTATCACCACTAGTTTACATTCTTGTTATCACCACTAGTTTACTTCATTGTTACCACCACTATTTAACATCCTTGTTATCACCACTAGTTTACTTCCTTGTTATCACCACTAGTTTACATTCTTGTTATCACCACTAGTTTACTTCCTTGTTATCACCACTATTTAACATCCTTGTTATCACAACTAGTTTACACCCTTGTTATCACCACTAGTTTACTTCCTTGTTATCACCACTATTTAACATCCTTGTTATCACCACTAGTTTACACCCTTGTTATCACCACTAGTTTACATTCTTGTTATCACCACTAGTTTACTTCCTTGTTATCACCACTATTTAACATCCTTGTTATCAAAACTAGTTTACTTCCTTGTTATCACCACTATTTAACATCCTTGTTATCACCACTAGTTAACATTCTTTTTATCACCACTATTTAACATCCTTGTTATCACCACTAGTTTACTTCCTTGTTATCACCACTAGTTTATATTCTTGTTATCACCACTAGTTAACATCCTTGTTATCACCACTATTTAACATCCTTGTTATCACCTCTAGTTTACTTCCTTGTTATCACCACTAGTTTACATTCTTGTTATCACCTCTAGTTTACATTCTTGTTATCACCACTATTTAACATCCTTGTTATCACCACTAGTTTACTTCCTTGTTATCACCACTAGTTTACATTCTTGTTATCACCACTAGTTAACATCCTTGTTATCACCACTATTTAACATCCTTGTTATCACCTCTAGTTTACTTCCTTGTTATCACCACTATTTAACATCCTTGTTATCACCAATAGTTTACATTCTTGTTATCTCCACTTGTTAACACCCTTGTTAACACCACTACTTAACATTCTTTTGATCTCCACTGGTTAACACCCTTGTCAACACCACAATTTTACATTTTTGTTACCACCACGAGTTAACATCCTTGTTATCACCACTAGTTAACATTCTTGTTATCCCCACTAGATAACATTCTTGTTATCTCCACTAGTAAACACACTTGTTATCAGCACTAGTTAACATCCTTGTTACGAACACTAAATAACATCTTTGTTATCTCAACTACTTAACACCCTTGTTATCACCACTAGTTAACATTCTTGTTATCTCCGCAAGTTAACACCCTTGCTATCACCACTAGTTTACATTCTTGTTAACGCCACTACTTAACATCTTTACCTCCACTAGTTAGCATATTTAGTTACCTACAATAGTCAACATCTTTGTTACCACCACTAGTTAACATCCTTGTTATCACCACTAGTTAGCATTCTTGTGATCACCATGAGTTTACAACCTTTTTATCACTACTAGTTAACACCCTTGTGATCACCACTAATTAACATCCTTGTTATCATCACTAGTTTACATTCTTGTTATCATCACTTGTTAACATCCTTGTAATCACAACTAGTTAACATTCTTGTTATCACTACTAGTTAACATTCTTGTTATCACCACTATTTAACTTCCTTGTTATCACTACTAGTTAACATTCTTGTTATCACTACTAGTTAACATTCTCTTTATCACCACTATTTAACATCCTTGTTATCACTACTAGTTAACATTCTTGTTATCACCACAAGTTAACATTCTTATTATCAACACTAGTTAACATCCTTGTTATCACCACTAGTTTACATTCTTGTTATCTCCACTAGTTAACATCCTTGTCACCAACACTAAATAACATCTTTGTTATCAGCACTAGTTAACATCCTTGTTACCAACACTAGTTATCAGCTCACTTTCAACACTAATTAACATATCTGTTATCAACACTAGTTAGTAAATAACCTTGTTACCAACACTAGCTAACGTCCTTGTTATTAGCACTAGTTAACATCCTCGTTATTAACACTTGTTAACATCCCTGTTATTAATACTAGTTAACATCCTTGTTATTAACACTAGTTAACATCATCATTATTAACACTAGTAAACAACCTTGTTACCAACACTGGTAAATGTCCTTGTTATTAACACTAGTAAACATTCTCGTTGACAACTCATTCACTGCCAGCCATTTCCTGATCGCTAAACTCCTTCGCTGCCAGAGTTTCTCACCCTTTTTACTGTTTTTTTAAGAGTCACAGAACGTTGCGTGCTAGGATGATGTCGACGCCAAAACAACCAAAACAAAACAACAACAAAACACCTCTTACATCAGGAAGAATCCGTGTGTTTCGAACTTTATCCGTTCTTTCATAATCCGTTGTCGAATTGTGATCAGCAGACACTTTTCCGGTGCGCCTCACTTTTTTTACAGGAACGGCCCAAAACGATCTCCTCACACATGGATGTTCTGCTTCCTGATCACGTGACATGTGATGTATGGGGACGAAGATCGGCTTTAGAGCTGAGATGTTTGTTCTCTCAGTGCGGGGGCTCGTTCCGATGCTCAAACAGTAAAAAAAAAAATGCAAATGACGATTTAAGTCGTCAATGGCAGTGAATGAGTTAACACTAGTAAACGTCCTTGTTATTAACACTAGTAAACATCCTCGTTATTAACACTAGTAAACGTCCTTGTTACCAACAATAGTTAACATCCTCCGTATTAACACTAGTAAACGTCCTTGTTATTAACACTATTTAACATCATCGGTATTAACGCTAGTAAACGTCCTTGATATTAACACTAGTTAACATCCTCGTTATTAACACTGGTAAACGTCCTTGTTATTAACACTAGTTAACATCCTCAGTATTAACACTAGTAAACGTCCTTGTTATCAACACTAGTAAACATCCTCCTTATTAACACTAGTAAACGTCCTTGTTATTAACACTAGTTAACATCCTCGGTATTAACACTACTAAACGTCCTTGTTATTAACACAAGTTAACATCCTTGGTATTAACACTAGTAAACGTCCTTTTTATTAACACTAGTTAACATCCTCGGTATTAACACTAGTAAACGTCCTTGTTATTAACACTAGTTAACATCCTCGTTACCAACACTAGTAAACGTCCTTGTTACCAACACTAGTAAACGTCCTTGTTATTAACACTAGTTAACATCCTCGGTATTAACACTAGTAAACGTCCTCATTACCAACACTAGTAAACGTCCTTGTTATTAACACTAGTTAACATCCTTGTTATTAACACTAGTTAACATCCTTGTTATTAACGCTAGTTAACATTCTTGGTAGTAACACTAGTAAACGTCCTTGTTATTAACACTAGTTAACATCCTTGGTATTAACACTAGTAAAACGTCCTTGTTATTAACACTAGTTAACATCCTTGTTATTAACACTAGTAAACGTCCTTGTTATTGACACTAGTTAACATCCTTGGTATTAACACTAGTAAACGTCCTTGTTATTAACACTAGTAAACATCCTCGTTTATTAACACTAGTTAACATCCTCGTTATTAACACTAGTAAAACGTCCTTGTTAATAACACTAGTTAACATCCTTGTTATTAACACTAGTTAACATCCTCGGTATTAACACTAGTAAACGTCCTTGTTATTAACACTAGTAAACATCCTCGTTTATTAACACTAGTTAACATCCTCGTTATTAACACTAGTAAAACGTCCTTGTTAATAACACTAGTTAACATCCTTGTTATTAACACTAGTTAACATCCTCGGTATTAACACTAGTAAAACGTCCTTGTTATTAACACTAGTTAACATCCTTGTCATTAACTCTAGTTAACATCCTCGTTACCAACACTAGTTAACTGCTCATTGTCAGCGGTCATCATCCATCATCCCTTGTTGGGTCACAATGTGGACCCTAACTTCTTCTGGTTTCTCACCTGCAGCAAAGCAGCAAGAAGAGGAAGAGTGACTTCATTCCCTACCGAGACTCGGTGCTCACCTGGCTGCTGAAGGAGAATCTTGGTAAGCTGGTCCGACATCAGACATGCAGAAGACTATTCTCACATTAGCTGATTATATTCATGCAGATTTTAGTCAAATGTCAGACGTTGTCAAGGTGACCAGATAAGACATGTTGGCTCTGTCCATCAGGAGGAAACTCTCGCACCGCCATGATCGCTGCTTTAAGTCCTGCTGACATCAACTACGAAGAAACTCTGAGCACTTTGAGGTCTGTGATGTCATCAGTTTGTGCTTCAGACAGCAGGTGTGTTAAAGCTAGAGTACCATAAGCTGAAAACCCGACCCGGTCCAATGTGTTTCCAGGTATGCCGATCGGGCCAAACAGATTCGCTGTAACGCTGTAATCAATGAAGATCCAAACGCCAAACTGATCCGAGAGCTGAAGGCCGAAGTGGGTCGTCTGAGGAACCTGCTGTTCTCTCAGGGTCTGCAGGAGCTGCTAGACAGCACCATCCAGAACACCGGTATACCACCCGATCCACAACACCTGTACAGAGTTCAACTGCTTGAGATGAAGCCTGATCCCTTCCTCTTTCCCCCACAGTCAACAGCATCAGCCCTGGAGGGGCTCCAGGGGCCCCACCCACCCCCCTGCAGCTGACTCATACAGCCAATGGAATTGCAGCTAAAGTAGACCCCACCCCTCCAGGTAAGCAAGCATCTTTGTGCCATGACGGGGCGTCAGAGGCTGATTAAAGCAGCAGATGAATAAAAGTCTGTCTCTCTCTCCAGATGCTGAAGCGGTGCCTTCAGGAGAAGCTCTCGCTGACTCTGACCAGCTCATAGAGGACGCAGTGGAGAGACAGGAGGCGGTTGCCACGGAGACTATCAGTAAGGAGGAAGCAGCAGAGAGACTGGTGGTAGGTGTTGAACCAAGCAGAGGCTCCCAGGTGTTACCTGAGGTTGATCCGGTTACCATACAAACCCGGCTTGGTTTCAGGAAACCGAGAAGATCATCGCTGAGCTGAACGAGACGTGGGAGGAGAAGCTGAGGAAGACGGAGTCCATCCGTCTGGAGAGGTAAAGTCTATCTGTGCTGCTGTGTGAGCAGTCAGGGTCCGGGTGTGGCCGTCCCAGTAAGTGTTCATGCTGTGGCCCCGCCCCCTCCCTGTTCTAGTATCACCTGTCTCAAGGTTTCTGTTTAAACGTGGCTCTTATTTCTCTCTGCTGCAGCCGATGCTCATGGGTAACGTAGTTTTTACATTTCTGAGTGAGATGAGCGGTGTGTGAGGCTGATGGGAGGCCTGTCTCTCTGTCTCCTGTCCCTCAGGGAGACGCTGCTGGCTGAGATGGGCGTGTCCATAAAGGAAGACGGAGGGACGCTGGGCGTCTTCTCTCCTAAAGGAGTGAGTTTACTCATGTGAAGCCTAATTTATACTTCTCTGTCAGCTCCACGAGAGCGTCCGCAGCACAGCCTGTCCAAGGTTACGCACACGGAACACGTGGAACTAGACGGATACAGGCCGACCACAGGAGCGGCCATCACGGCGCTCGTCCTCAGTTAGATAGAAACGGGTTACATGAGGATGGGGGGGAGCAGCAGCCTTGTGCGCTCTTCGCTGTTGAAACAAGGTGACCTCTCCAGGCTAAGACCACCAATCCGAAGGCAGGGGGTAGGGCGGGCTTTTATGGCATCTGCATTCCTTCGTGGAGGTTTTTTTTCTTCTCGCAGCTCAAGGCTACCAGGGCGCCAGATCCAGATGAGAAGAATAGTTTGGGTTCAGGCAGAGATCATTTCCTCTCTGCCTTCCAGTCCCTCAGTGAATCCAATGTTTGGGTTCAGACTTGCCCATACCGCGCAGTGACCTTCTCCAAGATCACATCCATCTGGCGCACTAACACCGGGATCGCAGCTAGGACCTCTAGCTGACGAATCACCTCGAGTAACGTCCCAGTCTGAGCTGATGGGTACGGGTAGCACTCCATTCACCCCTGACTTCCCAGTTTTCCAAACCAGAAGTCCTCCGGCTCCAAACAGAAGAAATCCAGTAATTATCAGCCTGAAAATCCACAGGTCTTCGACGTCGTCCACAGACAGCTGGCAAAGGCGTTTAATATTCCACTCCTTCCAGGAATCCAATACATACCCCAGCCGGTGCATCCCCTGTGGACGAGCAGGAGCCCCCTGCTCCGCTCTCACAAACGCGTTGAATGACCAGTGAATCACATCCACGATTAATAAAAATAGAGTTTTCAGGAGGAAAGCAGAGAAGCCAGATCCTGATGAGAAAAGAGGAGCGTCTGTACTCTCCAGGTGCCAGAAGAAGAAAAAGACTTTTTCACACAGACAGATGTGCCCTCATCCTCCTCCACCTCTTCATGCACTCGCCACCTCTAAACCCACGTTTCCCGTCGGCTCCGTCCACGAATAAAGCGCTTGCTGCGTATCGTTTCTCTCCTCCAGTCACGGGGGAATGAAACGTTCATGTTGTTTTAGTTTTTCCACGAGGTGTTCTTCAAGCTTCTCAGTGTCTGCTGCTAGATGTCCTCTATGTCTTTGAGGGCGCAAGAGCAGCGCTGGAGACGACAGCGGTGCCCTGACCAATCATAAGCTTGCGTTCTCCGTCTCGTTGGACGGATGTTTAGAAAAGAGAGCTCGACTCCGTCCGTCCTTGCGAGCCTGCTGGAGAAACCTCAAAAGGACGGGTAATGGCGCTGGGTGCGTCCGCCCCGGCGCAGACGTATAAATTAGGCTTTAGACGCCGGTGACTTATCCATGCATTCATCCGCTGGTCCTCAGGGGTGTGTGTTAATCTGAGTGTGTGTGTGTGTGTGTGTGTGTGTTGCAGACGCCTCACCTGGTGAACCTGAACGAGGACCCTCTCATGTCCGAGTGTCTCCTCTACTACATCAAAGAAGGATTCACCAGGTTAGAACCATCAGCTGCTTCCTTTTCTGCTGTCAGTGGTTCATGTTACCATGGTAACGGATGGAGAGAGCATGGTAACTGTTCCTGCATGATGGGATGTGCACAGCAGAACGGTGACCTCTGACCTCTCAGAACTCACCATACTAGGATGTTTTAGTAGGGGTGTTCCGATGGATTGGCCGCAGATCCAGCTCGTCTAAGACAAAAGCGTAAAACCAACGTTTATTCCATCTGGGCGAGGGCGTAACCCACAGCGGGTTGGATAGGACCAAACTCTGGGCGGAGCGAGGGGACGACACCGGGTTCCACCCACTAGGATCCGCTACGGGTAGTAGATAAATAAATGACCTAATAATACCGTAACCAATCGTAATGTGTCAGGTTACTAGTCTCTTATTCAGGCCACTGTCGGCAGTAATCCAGGCCTCACACGTGTCCACAGAACAGAGCGGGTTTCCTTAGCATAACACGGCAGAACCTGTCCCCCACGCTTAACTCCCCTTCAAAGTAAAACTAACGCATAACATGACTCTTGTACCACCACCTCTTCAACCCATCCATCCATCCATCCAACCATCCATCCATCCATCTAACATCCATCCATCTGACATCCATCCATCCATCCATCCATCTAACATCCATCCATCTGACATCCATCCATCCATCCATCCGTCTAACATCCATCCATCCATCCATCTAACATCCATCCATCCATCCATCCGTCTAACATCCATCCATCCATCCATCTAACATCCATCCATCCATCCAACCATCCATCCATCCATCTAACATCCATCCATCTGACATCCATCCATCCATCCATCCGTCTAACATCCATCCATCCATCCATCTAACATCCATCCATCCATCCATCTTACATCCATCCATCCATCCATCCATCCGTCTAACATCCATCCATCCATCCATCTAACATCCATCCATCCATCCATCTTACATCCATCCATCCAACCATCCATCCATCCATCCGTCTAACATCCATCCATCCATCCATCTAACATCCATCCATCCATCTGACATCCATCCATCCATCTAACATCCATCCATCCATCCAACCATCCATCCATCCATCTAACATCCATCCATCTGACATCCATCCATCCATCCATCCATCCGTCTAACATCCATCCATCCATCCATCTAACATCCATCCATCCATCCATCTTACATCCATCCATCCATCCATCCATCCGTCTAACATCCATCCATCCATCCATCTAACATCCATCCATCCATCCATCTTACATCCATCCATCCAACCATCCATCCATCCATCCGTCTAACATCCATCCATCCATCCGTCTAACATCCATCCATCCATCCATCTAACATCCATCCATCCATCCATCTTACATCCATCCATCCAACCATCCATCCATCCATCCGTCTAACATCCATCCATCCATCCATCTAACATCCATCCATCCATCTGACATCCATCCATCCATCTAACATCCATCCATCCATCTGACATCCATCCATCCATCCATCTAACATCCATCCATCCATCCATCTTACATCCATCCATCCATCCATCCATCTGTCTAACATCCATCCATCCATCCATCTAACATCCATCCATCCATCCATCTTACATCCATCCATCCAACCATCCATCCATCCATCCGTCTAACATCCATCCATCCATCTAACATCCATCCATCCATCTAACATCCATCCATCCATCTGACATCCATCCATCCATCCATCTAACATCCATCCATCCATCTGACATCCATCCATCTAACATCCATCCATCCATCCATCTTACATCCATCCATCCATCCATCCATCCATCTGTCTAACATCCATCCATCCATCCATCTAACATCCATCCATCCATCCATCTTACATCCATCCATCCAACCATCCATCCATCCATCCATCCGTCTAACATCCATCCATCCATCCATCTAACATCCATCCATCCATCTAACATCCATCCATCCATCCATCTAACATCCATCCATTTTCATCCACTTATCCGGAGTCGGGTCACGGGGGCAGTAGCCTAAGGCGAGAGGCCCAGACTTCCCTCTCCCCAGCCACTTGGGCCAGCTCCTCCGGGGGAATCCCAAGGCGTTCCCTGGCCAGGTGAGAGACATAGTCCCTCCACCGTGTCCTGGGTCTACCTTTAGGTCTCCTCCGGGTTGGACGTGCTCGGAAAACCTCACCAGGGAGGCGTCCAGGAGGCATCCTGACCAGATGCCCGAGCCACCTCAGCTTGCTCCTCTCGATGTGGAGGAGCAGCGGGTCTACTCCGAGCCCCTCCCGAATGACCGAGCTTCTCACCCTATCTCTAAGGGAGAGCCCAGACACTCTTTTCACAGCTCATTTCGGCCGCTTGTATCCGTGATCTCGTTCTTTTGGTCACTACCCAAAGCTCGTGACCATAGGTGAGGGTAGGAACGTAGATCGACCGGTAAATCGAGAGCTTCACCTTCTGACTCAGCTCTCTTCACCACGACAGACCGGTGCAACGCCCGCATCACTGCAGGTGCAGCACCAATCCACCATCGATCTCACACTTCAGTGTTCCCTCACTCGTGAACAAGACCCTGAGATACTTAAACTCCTCCACTTGGGGCAGGACCTCATCCCTGACCTGGAGAAGGCATTCTACCCTTTTCTGATCCAAGACCATGGTCTCAGATGTGAACCGCTCCAGTGAGAGCTGGAGATCACGTTTGGTTGAAGCCAACAGAACCACATCATCTACAAAAAGCAGAGACCCGATCCTCAGGCCACCAACATGGATCCCCTCAACACCTTGGCTGCTCCTAGAAATCTTCAAATCATTACACTAACGATAATGAATGAAATAAAAGTCACAACACAAACGTGGGCTTTTTCTGCACT